GGAAAAATATCTCGACTTCATCACGTAGCCATTCTATACTATGTTTTCTTAGAAGATCTCTCGATAGCCATTACACTAATAACACTAAAATACTCTTGAGCAGCAAATTAAGCAGGACGGACGCCATCTCCAAGCTTGAAGATGTGCGTAAAGCAGCGGGTATTTGCGGCCGGCATCCAGCTGAACTGTTAAAGGCTGGTGGTGAACCTATGGCGCGGGATTGCATGTTGTCCTGGCTGCCATTTTGCAGTCTGGTACCATTCCCTCTACCTGCTATGAGGGAGTGTGGTCATCCCTCTCTGGAAGGGGAAGGGGGACTGATGGGACTGCCCAGCAATCACCGCGGGCATCACACTGCTCAGTGTACCAGGCAAGGTTCTTGCCCGCATCCTTCAGAGGCGTATCACGAGACCATCTACTAAGGCATCAGAGGCCCAGCAGCAATCTGGATTCACTCCTTGGTAAGTCAACAATAGACCGTTATCCTTGCCGCTTCAGTCATTGTATAGAAGCGCCGTCGTAGTTCGGACGTGGGTTGCTTGCAGCCTACATCGACCTCAAGAAGGCGTCCATACAGTACATCGGGAATCACTCTGGAGATCCTGAGACTGAGAGGAATACCAACAAGATAATTGAACTAATAGCAAACCTATATATACTGGTACTGAAATGCTGTAAAGTGTGGTGGGGGCCCTGTCGAGCTTCCTTTCCTGTCAGCTTCAGGAGTGAGCAAGGCTGTGTTCTTGCACCAACCCTTTTCTAACTTGCATTGGCACTGGATACTAGGCAGAGCTACTGTTCAAAGTCATTGTGGAGGCAACACTGGGTAATATTAAGGTTACAGACCTTGATTTTGCGATTGATGTACATTCTATTGAGTCTTTGGAAACCTTAGTGGTGGCCCTCGATGCATTTTAGTAATGAAGCGAAGCCCTTGGGTCTATGAGGTCTCCTGGACCAAGACAAGATCCAGGACTTTGGGACTTGCTTAGGAGAACCTGTTCAAGTCTGGTACGTGCTTGTGGCGAGGACATTTGAAGTCACAGAGAGCTTTACATACCTTGGTAGTGCCAGTTCATAACTCTGGGCTGTCAGACCAGGACGTCCCAGTAGACGGATTGGCCTGCGCAGCAGGGGTCATGATCTCTCTCGACAAGCAGTATTTGAAGATGCCAGTACCTGTGCAGAAGGACCAAGCTACGGTTTTCAGGGCCTGGTAATGCCCAGTTTTGCTCTACGGTAGTGAAACCTGGACATTATCCAGTTGCACTGGAGTCTCGTCTTGAAGCCTTTTGTAATAGGTCCTTGCTCCAGATCATGGGTACTGTTGGCGGACCATGTGTCTAACCAACTGCTGCGCCGTGAAGATGTGGCCCACAGGACCTGTTACCTGCCGCAATCCGGGATCGCCAACTAGGCTGTATGACCACCTGGCTCCTTTCCACAGGCTCATCCTGCCCATCAGGTGTCTCTGTAAGAGACAACCCTGCGGTGGAGGAGGCCTGTGGGACGACCTAGGAGCGTGGCTTGGCAGATTCATTCAAACCTGTCGGGAGAGCTCGAGATGGGCCAGGGCCCCGCCTTTGCGACTTGCCATGTAGGATCCCAAAAGGTGAATTACACTAAGATTTGACCGTTTTTTTCCATCACCACCGGTTAAGAATCACAACAACCCAGTTCCCACCCACACCCCATATCACCAGACAACTTATGTCCTCCCCCCAATCATCAACAACCCACATCCTCCCCCCCATTGCTTTTACAACAACCTATGTTGCCCCCCCCATCACTAACAACCTATGACCCTCCCCCCCCCACACTCTTCAACACTAAGAATTTGGCTGTTTTTTTCCATCACTTTCCGGTTAAGGATATCACCAACAACCCATGTCTCCCCCCTCCCAATCACCAACAACCATGTTCCTCCTCCCCCCCAACCACCAACAACCCATGTCCTCCTCCCCCCCAATCACAACAACCCATGTCCCTCCCCCCCTACCCAATGTCCTCATCACCAACAACCATGTCCTCCCAAATCACCACACAACATGTCTCCTCCCCCCCACATCACCAACAACCCTCCCCCGCCCAATCACCAACAACCCATGTCCTCCCCCCCCCCCAATCACCAACAACCCATGTCCTCCCCCCCAATCACCAACAACCCATGTCCTCCTCCCCCCCCAATCACCACCAACAACCCATGTCCAGTCCTCGCCCCCCAATCACCAACAACCCATGTCCTCCCCCCCAACACCAACACTCCATGTCCTCCTCCCAATCACCAACACCCATGTCTCCTTACCACAACCATGTCTCCCCCCAATCAACCCATGTCCCTCCCCCCCAATCACCAAACAACCCATGCCTCCCCTCTCCCCCCCCGATCACCAACACCCATGTCCTCCTCCCTCCACCCAACCAAAAACCGATGTCCTCCTCTGCCCCCTCCGCCCCACCATCACATGGCCCCCACAACAACCTACCCCCCCCTCCCCGG